CTGGCTCTGGTTTCTAGGTGAGAGGCTGGAGGGAAAGGAAGAGGGAGCTCTATCCCATCCCAAAGATGGCAATGACCTCCTGGGGCCAGTGGGCAAGCACGGCTCTGTGCTGACTCTTGGTCACAGTTGGAGGTCAGCTTTCGGGGGGCTATTAAATAATGCGTTTGAGATCACAGAGCTAGGAAGTGTCAGAGCCTTGTCCATTGCCTCTGTGTGTGTGTGTGTGTGTGTGTGTGTGTGTGTGTGTGTGTGTCTATTTTGTAGTTGTTCCATATGTCCACACCTAGATCTGCCCCATTCCTTCCAACGGCTGGATGGTATTGCATGGTATAAGTGGATCTTAATTTATTTGTCTGGCTCCCTCTGGATGGCCATTAGTTTGTTTTGGAATTCTTACTATAAATCTCTGCTAACTACAAAAGTCGTGATTTCATATGGGTTAGCCCAATACAAAGGATGCTACAGCAAGTGCTTTCTTTAATAAGCACACGCTATTCAAATACTATTCTCAGTGCTTTACAAGTATTCATTTAAAGTCAGTCCTTGGCAAAACCCTTTGAAGTACTGTTATCTTCATCGTCAACCCCATTTTGCAGATGAAGAAACTGAGGCACAGAAAGATTTAAGTGATTTACCCAAAGTCACACAGCTGACAAGTGGGAGAGCTGGGATTTGAACAGGGCGAGGAGTAAATTTCACAAGCATGAGGACATAAACTTGTGCTTCTCTGTCCCTTGTCCTTGGCCATTTATCTTCAGGCTCACATGCCCTGAAGTAGAGGCTAAATTCTTGGAAGTGACCTTGCAGGTTAAGAAGGTGCTTTTCAATTATGCTGTTGCCTGAGGGACCAGGAGCTGGCCAGGGAGCGTCGGGTGCTTTCCTGGCTAAAGGAACGTGACCTCCACCCCACCCCACCCCCCACTCTTGCCAGTGAGGCAGCTGCAGCTGGTCAGAACCCAAGAGGCGGGAGCCCACACTGGGCTCTTTGTCTTCGGTGGGAACCTTGTGGCCCCCACGGCCCTTCTCAAGGGCCCACTGTCCCAACACCAGCAGGACCTCCCAGGGGCCAGGCCCGGCTGGGAAACTTGGCACATTGGAGGCCCCTTGGCCAGCCTGCCAAGTGGACATGCAGAGCCCACTTATGAATCATTCCTACTGAAAAGACAGACTTGAGACAGAGGGCCATGTCCTTGGGGGTGCAGCAGCCTGGATGTGGCTGGAGTCCTGGGTCCCAGCCCTGGCACTGAGCACACCCCCATAGCCCAGGCCTAGCTTCTGGTCCTCCCCTCCCTCCAGCTCTCTGCCCCCTTCCCCACTGCCACCACTCAGGAAGGAGAGACTTCCTCCCTTCTCATGCCAACCTCAGTGCCCTCGGAGCCATGGTGGACTGCCCTGTGAGGAGTGGGCATCCCTCACTGCCCTGGGAATCTGCCCTGGTTCCAGAGCACCCTGCCAAGAGGGATCCAGACCCTCCTCTGACAACCAAACCCAGCGGGTAGTTCTAAGGGCAAGGAAATGGTGCCTGCCCTGCTGGGAGTCTGAACTCTGCAAGGGGCTCTTGAGGGCTCCTCTGCCCACCAGAGTGGGTAGAGAGGAGATGGACCCAGGGTGGGGGCAGAGGAGAGGCTGGGGGTGGACCCCCCAAGAGAGCAGTGATTGCTGTGATCTGGGGTCTTCATCCGAAATGGGGGAGGCTGCTGCACCACCTCCCCCTGCCGCGTGAGGCAAACGGTGGAGCCCTGTACCCAGACCAGGGAAGATGGTGCTAAATGAGCCCTGGCCCAGGGCGCAGGCCGCACAGTTCCTGAAAGGCTTTTAAGCATCCCTCACCCTGTCATCATGCCCCTGGTCGTCCTTCCTTCCCTGTCCCCCACTGCATCTGCTCCCTGTAGTCCTTTTAACCAGAAAACCCCATAGAAAACCTGAAAGCTCTGGTGGCTTCCCTGGGTGCAGAAGGTGGGGAATAATCCCTCCTCCTTTGGGGCGCAGAGTGGGCATTCTGGAAGGTGAGCCCTGGGGGGCAGGGCCGGTGCCCCCTGTCACCTGGGGCAGGAGAGGCAGCTTCCTGTTGGGTGGGCTGAACTGTGAGCGCTGGGTGAGTTGGGGGCAGAAGAGGGGCTCAGAGTGTTTGTTGAGTGAATACGTGACCAGCTGTAGGACCCAGCCCTGGAGGAACCCAGGCTGGATGAATTTTCAAGAGGAGGGCGGGGCATCTCCATTCCTGCCCCTTTGGCCTCCTCACCAGGGAGAGGGGGATGAGAGTGAGCTATAGAAGGGCTATTGGAGGCTCTGTTCCTTCTTGTGGGTCCCCCCCCCAAGTTTTACATATCTGTTCCTTTTTTAACACTTTATATTTTATTTTTTCCTTTTTATTGGGATGACACTGGTCTGTTCCTTCGTTCACTCTCTCATTTGCCTGAGCAGAGCTTCTATCCTAGTGTGGGGCCCTTGCAGCTGCTATTTATTAAGCATTACTGCATTAACGCATTCCATTACCGCAAGGGGGGCGGCAGGAGATTAGTCCCATTTTACAGAAGAGAAATTTGCGGAACCTACGCGGAGGGCAGAGACCATTGACCCTGGATTCCAAGTTCTTGACCCGACCAGCTGCCGTGATGACGGGGCAGATCCACCCACAGCTCTAGCGGGGGGTGAAGAAGGTGCCGCCCCCGAAGGAGGGTCTGCAGCCCGGTGCGCCCCCGGTCTGGAGTGAAGGGTGGGTCTCGTCTAACCCCCCTCCCTCCTTCTTCCACAC